AAAGACCTCTGAGGAGAACACAAAGATCTCTGAGGAGAACACAAAGACCTCTGAGAAGAACACAAAGACCTCTGAGAAGAACAAAGACCTCTGAGAAGAACAAAGACCTCTGAGAAGAACACAAAGACCTCTGAGGAGAACACAAAGACCTCTGAGAAGAACACATAGAATTCTGAGGAGAACAAAGACCTCTGTGGAGAACACAAAGACCTCTGAGGAGAACAAAGACTTCTGAGAAGAACACAAAGACCTCTGAGAAGAACACAAAGACCTCTGAGAAGAACACAAAGACCTCTGAGGAGAACACAAAGAATTCTGAGGAGAACACAAAGAATTCTGAGAACACAAAGACCTCTGAGAAGAACACAAAGACCTCTGAGAAGAACACAAAGACCTCTGAGAAGAACACAAAGACAGTAAAGCACCTGGCTGAGTTTCTGCTCTCCGGGTCAAACTGAGCCTCCGGCAGCTCGATAGCTTCCTCCAATATGACCTCCATTGGTGGCTGGGCGTCCTCCTGTGGAGACCTACACGCACACACACACACACACACACACACACATGAGCTTCTGGTTCTTCTAAGTGTGTGAGTCCATCAGACACCCACCATCTGCTGACAGGAGTCATCACGTCGCTTCCTGACTTGTCCTCTTTGGACAGGTCCAGCATCACGTCCACCACAGCTGTCCACACACAGAGCGATGGTTAGCAGCGTCTCTCAAGTGACCGACGTGTTTGTTGTGTCCAACCACAAACTGTTTGTGCTGAGATGGTGGGAACTCACATGGACCCTCGGAGGTCTGCAGTCCTGAATCACCGAGCGGCTGCAGGGACAGAGACACTGTGAGGTCCAGAACATGCATGACTCAAACGTGTTCCTGGTCAGTTTCACCTGCAGTCCGGCAGGTTCACATTTGTTTAGATCGTTCATATCAAACGTTTGTCTCCGTCAGAAAGTGTCAGATAACTTGGACTTTGTGACTTTTATACTTTTAGCATTTATTTTATAAAAAAAAAAAAAAACTTGAACAGAAACACAGAGAGATCTTTAATTACTTCTGAACTGATCAGCATTCATTTGTATCTTCCTCTGCTTCCTGTAGCTGCCATCTTGCTAATTCTAGCATTTGGTTGTCATGGAAATTTGACCTTTTAGCTGTTTCACTACATTTAATTTTACTGCTTAGCTAATTGTAGCTTTTAGCTCTTGTTTTTGCTTTGAGCTGTATAGCTGCTGATTTTGCTCTTTTCTTTTGAATTTTTGAACTGAGCTTTTTTTTGTTTATTGTAGCTTATTGCTACAGATATGCTAATTTTAGCTTCTAACTTGGATTTTGAAAATTTAGCCTTTAGCTACATATTTTCCTATTGCAGCTCTTGGCTACCATTTTGCTATTTGAAGATGTTAGCTACGGTTTTGTTAAATTAGCCTTTTGCTGCCATTTGGCTCATTTTAGCTATTAGCTAGTTTTGTTAATTCAAGCATTTATTTGTGTGTTTGTTTGTTTGAGCAAGTAAATTTAATTTAGATTTGTTAAATTATTATTTTTAGCTATGATTTTGCTAATTTTAACTTTTGGCTCCTGTTTTACTAATATTAGCATTAACTATGGTTTAGCTATTTTTGTTTTGAGCTGTATTTCTGCTGATTTGCTCTCATTTGAATTTTTGAACTGAGCTTTTTTTAATTGTAGCTTCTGGCTACATTTACGCTAATTTTAGCTTTTAAGTAGTTTTGGGAATTTAGCTTTTGGCTATAGTTTTGTAAAATTAGAGCTTTAAGCTACTGTTTTGCTAATTTGAGCTTCTAAGTTTGATTTTGAAAATCGAGCCTTTAGCTACAACTTTTCCTATTGTAGCTCTTAGCATTTTGCTATTTTTAGATGGTGGCTACGGTTTTTTTTTAATTTAGCCTTTCGCTGTCGTTTTGTCTAGTTCAAGCGTTTTGCATTTGTTAGTTTGAGCAAGTAAATTTAATTTTGGTTTTGTTAAATAAAATTTTTTAAGCTAAGGTTTTGCTCATTTTAGCTTTCAGTTACATTTTAGCTTGTTTTGCTTTTCTTAACTTAAACGACGCAGTTAAAAATGAATTCTTCAACAGTTCTAGCCCGGCGTCTCGTCTGAACTGAGCGCGCTCAGTGCGGCGCTGCAGCCGTTAATAAAAACCCGAAGTTTGACTGAAACCTTCAGAACTTTTCGTTTCCATCATTTCTGACCCGCTCTTCTCCGAACACACCCACTGACCTCCTTCATGCGCGACCGCCTCCTCCTCTCCGCTCTCACCACCTCCATGTCCTGCTCCGACTCCCCCTCCGCTCCCCGCCTTTCCTCGCCGCTCGGCAGCACGGCCAGCGAGGCCCGCTGTTTCCATAGCAACAGGAGATCAGGATGGATGAGAGCTGCGGCGGGTCAAAGGGCGAGAAGCGTCGGATTAGACTCACATTTAAAGTTTTTAGATAAATTTTAGATGTGACGTCGAGCTTATTTACTCCAAAATAAAAAAAGTTTCAGTATCTCAAAGCTTAAGTGTTTATTTTCTTTCCTTGTTGCCAAAAACTGATTTTTAACTCGTTTAGAAGAGAAAAACTGTTCGACTTGATGCTTTGGTACCAACATGGACAGCAGGGGGCGCTGAAGAGCTGAGCTGGAGCGACGCGCCTGGTTGATGCCTGCAGGTCCAGCAGCACCTTATTCTGACAAAGAACAGGATTTTCAAATGAAGAAAGAAGAAGTAAACAAAGACCAGAGAGCTGCGCTTGAATCAGCTGAACCTCGGGCGAATCGACACGTTTGTAAAGATTATAAAGACCGAAGGTTCGATCAGTCAGGGAGGCGTTACTCCCTCAAGGTGCTCAGAGGTTTACAACAAAAATACAAATATCCACCAGATTCTGCGTCTCGGTCCACTGGTTTCCAATCTGCTCCTTCATGGCTCCTTCTGAGATCTGGACCTGGGGGTCCACGAAGACCAGCTGACGCCGGCGTCCTCCTCGGTGCCGCCTCCTCGGAGGAGCCACCTGCTGACAGACGGAGACGTCACGACACACCCGTTTACTTACAAAACAAAAAAAAAAACATGTCGCCGTCATCGCCGGGCTTCAACGAACGCGACAGATCGGTTCGTTGATTAAACTAATTGCGTAACAAAACAAAAACAGGAAGTTCTTAGAAACACGACTTCCTGTGTAAAAACTCCAGACTTGAGTTCACAGATTTTTCTAAATGAAACCGCGAGCGTCGCATGTGTGACCGTTGCTGTAAGTTTTGTGTGCGTCTGTTATGCGTCACCTCTTGACAACCTGGAAATGTGCCATGAATTGATGGCGGGAGCGTGCACGGAGGACTTTAACAAGGTTTAACAAGATTAAGCAAAAATGGTTAAATCATGTCGTCTGGACCTGTTGACATGATTTAACCATGTTTGCTGTCGTCTACCTGGATGACTGAGCTTTTTTAACAAGTTAAACAACTAAACAATTATTTGTTTGCTCGACTTTATAGTAAAGTTGTGTCTCAGTTGAACTTTTACTTCATAAATGCACTTTAATGGTCAAATCAGCTGCATTTCTCCGGAGCGGTGCAGCTGGTTTGACGGTTGCTCGAGGCAGCGAGCAGAAGGACGGTGGGGACATTATGGCAGGCCGATTGTGTCAATAATAGCTGGTGAAGATTCTCAGTCATCCAGGACATGGTAAATTAAAAAAATTAAAGACAAAAACAATAAAGTATAATAAATAAAGTCTAGTTGTTTTTGTCTTGAAAATTTAGAATTTGTCATTATAGGCACGTTTACCAATTACATGATACAACAGCATGCCTTACACTCTGCTGCCATCAAGTGGCTGAAAGTGGTACTGTTCGATATTTTCTATCAGAATTAATAAAAACAGTCACATCAGTCAAAAGTTGGTTTATAAATACGGGAAAAATCCATAAATACGTTGCTTCGGCCTACAAGTCGCAGGGCACGTAAATTATGCAAAAAAACTGCGACTTATACAGTGAAAAATACGGTAACTGTGAAATTAGTGTGCAGGTGCATGGATTGAGGAAGACGCCGAGGAGTGGAGCGGTGATTGGCCGCCCGCCTGGAGGTGTGCTGATAAAAGGAGCTGCGTTAGTGACGACGTCGGCTTCCACCCACTGCGCATCCCAACCAGCCACAGCTGCGGCGTCAAATCAACTGTTTAGTTTTTGTAAGGGTGAGCTGCCATTTAAAACATTTTTCTCCTGTTCTTTGCTCAGTTCAGGTAAGAAACCTGCATTTTGGTTAATTTTGTTTTGAGGTAAGAGAAAAATAGGAAAAACAAGTTTGTTCTGTTTATTTTGTCCTGGGCTCGCCTGAAGTTCGATGAGACTCCGCGTTCGTCAACAATAATGGCCCACGCTGTAAAGAAACTCAGTTCAACCACGTCGTCGACTCGGTGGCTGCTCCAGGTGCGCAGCGGGCGGACACGCCCACGTCTAGTTACAACCTGGCAGCCGCGCGCGCCGGATGCAACACGTGGACCGCGATCACTAATCCACAGGTTGGATTCGTTCTACGACGGCAGGACGCTACGTTTGGTCTCGGCGCCGCTCTGAGCAGACGGTCCGGTCAGAATGAAACAGCTGCCAGAACCTCACCTCCTCACACGGACTCGCCGCAGAATGGCCCTCCACGTCCTCGCTCGGCATCGCCACGTTCGGAGGCGTCATCTCCACGGCAACGCCCGTCAGAGCCGCCTGACCCGTCTTTTCGTCCAGCAGCCACTCGCTGTCCCTCTCCGTCCCCAGCGTGTCCTTCAGCCTGGACGACAAGAGGACGGAGTATGGAAGGTTTGCTAAAGCTGCAGTTTACAAATAATTGATCCGTTTTTTAAGCTCACGGTCCAGTAGGGGACACGACTCCCTGGTCCCTGGTCCTGTCCTCCGTCTGCTCCTCGACCACTTCTGTTGACATGAAAACAGAAACTTAAACAACCACATGGAAAACATTTTAAAATCTCTCCTTACTAAAGCTGCTTGCATTAGAAATATGACATCATGTCTCCAGAACACAATCTGCATGAACTGAAGTGCAATTAATGCAAATTATTTACACACAAAACTAAACTTATTGATTAATAAGCACGTTAAAAGATCTAAAAATCAACTGAAAATAATAAAATCATCAGATTGATCATAATAAAATTACTAAACAATATGCCTGTTTCATCTTTCTGGTTATTATTTTTATTCTCTGTGCAGAGCGGCTTAATTTAACGTTATTGTTCTTGTTTGTTGCAAAGAATGTTTTTTTTAAAAACAACTTTCTGGAAAACAAACACGTTCTTTGCAACAAACAAAGAACAAAGAAAAACTGACTGTCCTGTAAAAATAAAACTTTTAACTCCGTTAAAACAACAGACACACGAAAACAGAATGTCAAAGGAGCTGTACCGTCTCATCTCTGTGTTAGCAAAATATCTTATTTATGACTGGAATACACACCTTGGCGAAACTGATCGGGCTGATCCATCAACAAGTCGATGTCTTTGATCGTGGCTTCAGGAAGGTCGTCTCCCTCGAAACACTGGCACCAAAAATAAAGAAATAAATAGAGAAACTGCGTTTCCTGTGAAAATGCTTAATGCTGAAAAACAAGCTGAAATGTAGCTGAAAAACGCTGAAATGTAGCTGAAAAACGCTGAAATGTAGCTGAAAAACACG